CTTACATTCAAGATGAATACAGTACAAGTACAGTGTTACATAGTTCATGTAACTCACATCCCTGGCACCTTGAATTTCCTACCATCCTTAATATTACTACACGTAAATATCAATTTAAAAATGTGTAAAATCATTTTAGGGACGACAAGCGTGAAAAACTGCAGCACACACACAATCATATATATAATGTAAAAATCACATTTAGAAGGATAAGCATATGGAATTATATTCGGGAAATGCGATACAAATTCTTTAAGTTTTAAATATTTATTTGCTTTTACCTCGACAATAAAATTATCTTGTTCCGAAACGTACACGAATATACGATTTCGTTGAATTACACTTAAAGTTAATAGTATCGCGCAACACAAGATATACACTTTTTAGAATTTTATCGTTAATTGCCGTCAGAATTGTCAGAAACTTGCGCGCCTCGCTTAAAAGCTCTAACACGACTAGATTAATTTCAGCGCTTACACTGGTCACTCAGGGCGCAGATTATGTAGGTGGTTGTATTGGCATTAGATGTACATATATATATAAAAGCATCCGGTCGAATCTTACAAAGCGAATGCTTACAATGTTTAAAAATAAATATGCGGTAAATGTTGGACCTCAGTTTCTATTCGTGTAATCGGACCACGAATTACACCCACGCCCTCCCAACCCCAGCAATCCCTTTCGTACTGTTGACTGGTATCAGACTGTCAGCTGCTGACTCCAAATCCTGCGGTTTTCGTCTGCTTTTGGATGAACGAGCGAAATTTTCTCTTTGTTTAAATCAACGCCATCTGTCGCTTGTTTTAAAAAAGCTTACTAAAAGCTAAACTGGTGGAATGGTAATATTTATTATTTTATATATATTACTGTTAGGTAAAATAAAAGGCATACATGATATAACATTAAAAGATTGAAACAAGACTAAAGGCATTACATAAATGTTATTCATTTTAATCATAGTTATTGTAAAAAAAAATTACGCTTCCAAAGTAGCATGAAATTTTTGCTATTAAAACGTTAATACAAGAATACGTATATACGTACTACGCTGTAATCGAAAACAACAATTTTGTACAAATTTCGTTTAAACGATTTCGAATATTCGACCTTTTGTGATGGAGGTTATGTAGTAAAATATTAAAAACTAACAAAAGTAAAAAGCCGAATTATCATCTACTTTTTTCATTACTTTGTTATATTTCCTATCCATTATTAAATCATAAAATGTTACATAGTTAGGAATACAGTTAATGTAATTGCATCAATATATACGTATTAAAATGTACACATGTACATACTCCAACTCATGTAATATATTTATTCTATTTTTATGTAATTATCTATTTCAAAAATTATAATTTAAATTATCTCAAACATTAACAGGTTTAAATTCGAGATTTTTATTGGTCAGCCACTTTTTATGAAACTACTTCCGTTAAGTGTGAACGATACCTAACGCTTGTATCCTAGTAGAATCATCTCGAATACTATTTACAGGTTACTGAAGTAACTTTGCTCAAGCACAGTGAGTGAAATTTCAAGAAACTGAAAAGTTATAACGTGGGTTTATAAAAATGGTAAGCTGAGTAAATTTTTTATTTAAATTACAGAAAACATAAAACTTTTACTAAAAAATATGAATTTAGATTTATATTATGAATTTTGTTATAAACCGCTATATGTCGAAAATTAATATGATTTTATGTCAGCAAAATACAGTTCTTTTTAATAATAATGGGGAATTCTATACAAATGAGTTATTAAACTTAGAAAACTAGTAAAGCGAAATACAGAAAAATGAGTATTACATTATAGCTCTAACCTTATATGGAGATTAATTTCGGCTTACTCCCACAATGTGCATGTGGAAACAATCTAACTAATAGGTGGTGGTATTTCTAAAGTTCCAACAAAAACTGATCAGTTTTATTTACCATAAATATTTAACATGATAACAAAAGAAAAAAAATATTGTTTCTTAATTCATTTGTCTTGCTGAAATCTGACAGACATCATTAGTTTTATGCAGCCATAGTGTCATAAAAACACATGTACATGTATTAAATATAATATATTAAAAATGGGAAGATACATGAGAGTACATAATTATTGTTATTATAATCATCATTAACAATGATTATGTAGTTCATTCATATATGTGTATTTTTTTTGTAGCAACCTCAAATAATTTTACTTAAAGAAGGCACAGATGCATCACAAGGAAAACAACAGCTAATATCAAATATAAATGCATGTCAAATAGTAGTCGATGCTGTCAGAACTACTTTAGGTCCTCGAGGGATGGATAAACTTATTGTTGATCAAAATGGAAAAGCAACTATTTCGAATGATGGTGCAACCATTTTAAAATTGCTGGAAATTGTTCATCCTGCGGCAAAGACCCTAGTTGATATTGCAAAGTCTCAAGATGCAGAGGTAAATAATATGTTATAAATATAAACTCTGTAAAAACTTAAAATGTGATGTAATCAAAATATAACATTACTAGTTAATATACAGAGAACAGTATGTTAAGAACTTATAGACTGGTAACGTCTTGAAGATATGTAGTTATCTCAATAATGTTCAAACATTTTATTAAGTTATATCCTATATTAAACTCGTAATTGTTTTATACATGCCTCAATTTTATCATTTATTTTATAGGTTGGTGATGGTACTACGAGTGTAGTTTTATTAGCAGGAGAATTCTTGAAACAAATGAAGCCATTTATTGAAGAAGGAGTACATCCACGTATAATGATTAAAGCTCTTCGTCTTGCACTTCAAGTAGCAATTGAAAAAATAAATGCAGTAAGTGTAAAGATAGATAAGTCTGACCAAACAAAACTAGTGGAACTTTTAGAAGAGTGTGCAGCCACATCTATGAGTTCAAAATTAATTCATCAGCAAAAAGAGTTTTTCAGTCGTATGGTTGTAAAAGCTGTCATGATGCTTGATGAGATGTTACCTCTCAATATGATTGGTATTAAAAAGGTAAATTTATTTGAAAGCTAATTTACACAATATTGTGAAAAATGCTAAGTTACATTTGTTTATTATTACACATATATATATAGGTTTCTGGTGGAGCATTGGAAGATTCAGAACTGATTAAAGGTGTAGCTTTTAAGAAAACATTTTCTTATGCTGGATTTGAAATGCAACCTAAGAAATATCAAGATTGTAAAATCGCTCTATTAAATATAGAATTAGAACTTAAAGCAGAAAGAGACAATGCTGAAATACGTGTGGATAATGTTATGGAATATCAAAAAATAGTTGATGCAGAATGGCAAATTTTATATGACAAGCTTGACAAGATTCATAAGAGTGGAGCACAAGTAGTATTATCGAAATTACCAATCGGTGATGTCGCTACGCAATATTTCGCAGATCGAGACATGTTCTGCGCAGGTAGAGTTCCTGAAGAGGATTTAAAAAGGACAATGAAAGCATGTGGTGGAAGTATTCTAACAACTGTACATGACATCAAAGAATCAGATCTTGGTAGATGTGAAATGTTTGAGGAAAGACAAATTGGAGGGGAAAGGTATTTTAAATGCAACAAATAATCGGACGTTAATAATTAATGATTATTATATCAAAATAATTATTTTTAGATTTAATTTCTTCTATGAAGGATCACGTGCTAAAACATGTACATTTATACTTCGCGGAGGAGCAGAACAATTCTTAGAAGAAACAGAAAGATCTTTGCATGATGCTATCATGGTTGTTAGACGTTTGTTTAAAACAAATGCCTATGTAGCTGGTGGTGGAGCTATTGAGATGCAACTGTCGAAAACATTACGAGACTATTCTCGTGTAATAGCAGGAAAAGAACAACTTTTAATTGGAGCAATAGCTCGTGCACTTGAGGTTATTCCAAGGTACGTATTTTAGTTCAACTTTTATTTTAACATCTATAATTTTAATTTTTAAAAAAATAATAATTATACTAATTTCAGACAACTATGTGATAACGCTGGTTTTGATGCAACAAATATTTTGAACAAATTGCGACAGAAACAACATAAAGGCATGCATACTTATGGTGTTGATATCAATACCGAAGACATTGGTGATAATATGTTAGCTTATGTGTGGGAACCTGCTGTAGTAAAAATTAATGCCTTAACAGCTGCAACTGAAGCAGCATGTCTTATTTTATCTGTTGATGAAACTATAAAAAACCCCAAAAGTAGTCAGGATAATGGACCACATGCTCCAATGGGTCGTGGCATGGGAAGACCAATGTAATAATAAATCGCTTTATTAACTTAAAAAAAACATGTGCTAATGTATTGCAACAATTCGCTTATATGATTACAAATTATTCAACACAATTTTTACATACTTCTTTTCTATACTGTAATATAAGATAAAATGAATTTCAAAGTCTTGTTCCGGAAATAGTTCAATATTTTATCGCAAAAATATTTTATCACAATCAGGATAATATAGTAACATAATATTATGTTTATCGTATTTTACATACGTACGAGTTACAAGAATATCCACTTTTTATTTATAAAATTGTAAACTATTGATTTAATTGCGAAATTTAATATTAAAAGGAAAAATTCTTTTTACGCTTCACAAAAATTTAAAAGAACATGAAAATGTCGTCATTACATTATTGACCTTATAAATGTTAACATCAACGGTAACGGTAACTACAGCTTATTTGTTATTAAATTTCGCCATCATTGTATCATGAAATTCGTATAGGTCTCGATTTAGTTTTAATGTAACATTTTACATTTGCTTACTATTTTTAATAAAAAGCATTTCCTGTTTCACAAGTTTAAGTGTTGAGATAAAAATATAATATAATTTTGTTCGTTATCTTTACCTTACATTATCCTTAAAATACATATATTCTTAATTTAAATATTTAAACATTTTTACTGTAAGCTTATTCTAGGAATAAAAATTTTCACTAAAAGTTTTCATGAAGAGTATTACTGTTACTATAGTAGCAATTAAAATAACAATTATGTTCATATCAAAGTTTGTGTTTAATTACGAATCATTAACCTTCCGAAGCGAAATTCGAACTGTTGTTTCGATAATTGGAGTTGTAATGACTTGTAGATTTGTAGACAACTTCATTTGTGTAACCAGTTATGACAGATTAATTTTGCCTGTGTTCGAGTTCGAAGGAAACAGAATGAGTTATATGCTGTTTGTAAATAAAGCGTGGTGTAAATAGTGTGATCGTTAATTACAAAAAACACATATTTTATGTGAATTTGTTATGAGATATATGAAACATATCTACCCGATTAATATGAACAAAATTTTGATTTAAGAAAATTGATTGCTTATAACTTTTTTCCAATTAGTATAGGGAATCGGTAAATATGAAAATCGAAAGATTTTGGAAACGTCGATTTTTGCGAAAAAAGTTGAAATATACGTTAATTTGTGTATTCATAGTTTCTATTATTTTCGTTGCTCATCAGTTAGTTTACTTTAAAAAACTTAATCAAGTGATCGTAGGAAAATACATTAGTGGATCTGTACGAAAAACTAATTATATCGATGGTAAAATGAGTTCAAGATGGAATGAACCATTGCATTCAAAATTACTTCGCGATAAAAAAGGTCGAACTGTATCGTTACGTGGAACGCGTGATCAAGATATTTCAAAATACTTGCCAAATGTACGGGGGAAATTTGTTTGTTTTACTTCAAAAGACGAAATAGACTTTTTTAAAATTAATGATAACTACTGTGATTGTCCTTTGGATGGTAGTGATGAACCTGGTACCAATGCATGTAATAATGGTGCCTTTAATTGTGAACTTTCATCCTTGCAATTTATAGGTATACTTAATAATTTAAATTTCATTATATAATATTTATTTTTCTATTAATGACATTATGATTATTTTTGAACAAGTCCCAATAAAAATACCATCTTATAAAGTTAATGATGGATATTGTGATTGTTGCGATGGATCTGATGAATGGGCTGAAGTTAAATTATCACGCTTAAATAATGGTAACTATTTTTATTAAGAAAACTATATAAATTTAATTATTTAACGACAATTTGTTTCAGAATCTGGAAGTATAATTTACTATCGTACAAAATGTCCAAATAGATGCTAGGAAAATTCAAATTAATATCACAGAATATTTATTTTGTATGGATTATTATCTAAATTAATATCTCTATATTGTAGATAAAGCTTTACAGTGTATCAAAGTTATTTTCTAAACTTTTTTTGTAAAATTTATATATTACTTGTAATATTATATAATATTAAGGGTATGTTACTTAAGTTATTGAAAAGATATTTCAAAATTTAGTAAAAATTCTGTTTAGATGATGCATTAATAATATGTTACAAAATTTGTCATAAAACATATTTTATGTTCATATTAAGTTATCATATGAAAATAATATTTTAGCATTAATATATGATGCTAGATATATCATCAATATTTATTTTTATATTCACTATACATGCATAAATGTTGAATTAAAGAGCTAAATGCGATTTATAAAAAGAATTTGAATATAAATTATAATTAAAATTTTATATCATCTTGTTACAATTATGGATTTCCTTATTCAGTTGCTGTATGAACATACAATTTTTTAATTATACAGGGTGATTCCGGGTGGGTGATACAACAGGGCTGGTGATGATTCTATATGAAAAAATAAGCTGAAAATATAGAATAAAATTTTTTCATGCGATGCTTTCTTTCCGAGAAAATCGGATTTACTCGAATATATTTAAACTTGGCTAAGTATCGACTAGATATGAGCAAATCAACAGGAGGTTATTCTACACACGAAAATAAATTAAAAATAAAATAATGTAAAATTAAATTTTTCAATTTAAAACCTTATTTTCAAGAAAATAAAGTTTAAACATGTTCGGTTAAGAACCTGATCTTGTACAAGCACAAGATACATTTTCAAATCTATTTTTCTCTGAGATAAAGCTTCCTGCAGAAAGATTTGTTTTATATTTTCAACTTATATTCATATGCAGTTTAGCCTCCTATCAATTATTAATTCCTCTTCAGTCCGGTACTAGCCAAGTTTAAGCATACTTGTCAAATCTTCAAACTTGATTTTTTCAAAAACAGAGCATCATATGAAAAAAATTTATCCTACATTTTCGACTTATCTTTTCACGTAGAGTTATCTTCTACCAAGTTACACATCCCTCCAGCCTCTCCCTTATATGGTAATACAAAATTGATATTTTATACTTAATTCAAATAATTCTATCATATGCTCTACCATAAAAAAAATTTCTATGGAATGTGATACTGTATTTAAGAGGTTCATATATTTTCATATCACCTAATTAATGAAATCAAACATCAGAAATCATTATAGATATTTTCCATTTAATGTTATCACTATAAATGACGTTACTGTGTACATAATATTACTGTGTATAATTCCGAATAACTTTAAGAACATTAAAATGATTTTGTAAACTTCTTGTTTTATCTGTGAAATGTAAAGTCCGTTTTATAGGAATTCCTAAATTTCGTAAAATATTACAAAAATGGCTTTCTTCTTCACCAATCCATGGACGATGAGAATCTTGAACTTGATATGGTGTAACATGAACATTAACATCTATCCCTACAATAATATATATCAACGTTTAATATAAAGTTAACAAAGCATTTAATAAATATATTGTAAAGGCTTCAAGTTCAATAAATAGTATTACTTAATTTTGCAAAAGATTCTAATATGGATTTCTCCACAATCCATGTATCCTTAGAACCTGCATGTCCACCATCCAACCACCACATGCTTTCAATAAGACGTATAAAGTTATTAATTTCAATATCAGGATCTAATTTATTTTGGTAATAATGAAACTCATGGAGTAATTGATTTAAAACAATACAACCTTTGCTAAAGCCAACTAATGTTAGTTTTGCTTTCTCAATATTCAAGTGAGTAAATTCCTAAACATCAAATATATTTGTATTAATTAAAAATCATAAATTTACAGTTCATAATTTATAGTATGTATACCTTGTCTGTATTATATGTATTAATTCTATTTACAGAAAATTTAAGTAATTCTTGTAAATGTTTTAAAGCATTATGTGTTGGACAAAATAATGGTATACCATATTCTTTTGATGGTACAAAGTTATCAAAATAACTTAACGTTTCTAATACCCTAAAACAATATTGCAGCTAATAATAATAAAAATCAAATATATCATTTTTAACATAGCTTATAAATATCACCTAGATGGTCGAATTAAAAACACATGTTTTTTAGGAAAGCTAATAGTAAGTATCTTGGCTGTATTTTCTAAACTCCATTCTATATACGTTTTGCTACCTGCATGTTTCATGTTTTCTTGAGTGTCCTATAATAAAAATGTGTTCATATAAATATTTATACACTGTACTATATTATTGTTTAATAGAGCTATTTAATTTAGTTATGCAAAGCATTTTATGTACCTGAATATCACCTCCAAAATATAAAAGAACATCCTGACTTGATGGTAATATCGGACTTGAATAAATTATATCATCAAATCGACCGGCAATTCCGGGAACATTTTTCCAAATCCAAATTTTAGATGACATAATGTTCCGAGATGATTTTATACAATAAGGTTAGAATAAAAGTAAGTATAATAAATTACATTATTATATTTATCCAATTTGTGAATATAACAAATTACATTATGATATTCTCCTAATTTGTGAATATAACAAATTACATTATCGCAAAATTATTTTATAATTCCTTCGCAATTATACACACTTGTTTAATGCTAATGTCTACTACATAATAATACGAATATTAGTGCTAAAGAACGGCGGATTTGTTAAATGGCTGCAATATTGTAGTTTTACTTGAATTTATATTTATATTTTATATTTTTTCAACAATTTAGTACTTCAATGTAGCTGTTCCTGTTGAATAAAATTGACGTATTGAATAAAATTGACATATACGTAAGACGTGGAATATGACCAAATTTACTTAAGGATTCTATAAATTTTTGTGATGCCAAACCATATGATCTTTATGTTGCAATAACAAAACGATATGCATTTAAATTTTTATATAAAATGGAGTTAATATAATTATTTTGAGTATAAAACATATGTATACAAATTATGTACAATTTTAAAAGTACCATTTTGAATTTGAGTTTCGTCGTGAATAAAGTCCAACAATTATTACGTAAGATATTACAAAAATAGAGAACGTCGATTTCAAATTTTATTACGTTTGCAGTAAATGTTAAATATTTTAATATTATTTAAATAATCAAAATTATGTGCCTTTAAATTGTATGACATAACCCAAATCTATACGTATCCTTTTCAGTTTTAAAAAGATATAAATCAAAGCTAGTCATGCACTGTGATTCAAACTTTACAACGGTGTGGGATCCTCTTCAAATATTTAATTATACACATTATAAGTACGCTGTTGTTATACTGAACAGTCCACTTTATTGGAAAGATAATACTTTACTTCAAATTTGGAAAAGAGGTATGTTTTCTGTGCTTAAAACTAGTTGAATAACAAATAAAGAAGATTACATATATTTGGCAATCTTTGTTAAAAATAATTCATTCAGAAGTGTATGCTATTCAGCTCAGGTTAATGTTACTGTTGATGGTGGAACGTACAGATGGCTACATTATTTAGAAGAGCAAGGTATTGATTTATTAAATGAAGATAATACTGAATATGTACCAAATTTAATTACTGGTGATATGGATAGTTGCTCTCCTTTAATTCTTGAAAAACTAAAGAGTATGGGCTCGATGATTATTAAAACACCTGATCAAGATCACACAGACTATACGAAAGCTTTGCTTCAATTGGGACAATATGCTAAAAAAGAAGATATAGAGGTAATGTAGAATATTTTATAAGATTTGTTGAGTGAATTATACTCAATAATGAGACGATTACTGTTTACAGTTAAATGGAATATACGTGTTTGCAGACACTTCAGGGAGATTTGATCATATCATGGGAAATATTAATACACTTTATAGAAGCGATAAGATTATTGAACATGTACAAGTAATTATTACTTGTTTAATTGTAACTTAGATTTATTTTAAGATATTTTCATTTATTAAATTTTATGTATTTTTTAGGTGATTCAAATTGCAAACAATTCATTGACATGGGTTTTAAGACCGGGTCTTCATAGTATAATCATTCCTAAAATTTTGGTAGAAAACAATAGCTGGTGTGGACTGTTACCAATTGGTGCACCTGTTAACAGTATAATAACAACTGGTTTGAAATGGAATTTAAGTATGTATTGATCAATTTAATGAAAGTGATATGTTTGAATCGGTTCAGTATTATAGAAAAAAAATGTGTTTCATCTCTTAGACAATGCAACATTACAATTTGGGAGTCTTGTGAGTTCTTCAAATACATATGACAATTGCTCTGAAGTAACTATAAATACAGATTCACCTGTGATATGGACTATGGGTATAGAACCACTTCAAAAGAATACAAGTAATTATGAAATATCACAAAATACTTGATGGCATTCTGTGTTAATCGTTTTTCAATATTTTCTGTACATTTGAAAATATGTGTTATAGAATTAATAATATTTATAATACTATAATATAATAATATGTACTTGAACATTTTCTAAAGTTGCTGTATATGCAACTGATGAATTTCATTATAATAGAAAAAGCTAGACAAATTTCTCTGAATTCAAATTGACAAAAATATCAAAGTAGATATTTCTTTATTTGTTCAGCATAATTTATATTTATAAGCTTATAAGGTTTATGGAAAGTTAGATATTTTTTATATAAAGTTATAAAGGTTCAAGAACAATATTTCAAAATTTTGAAACTTTAGGTCTTACTAAAACGTTTTATTTTTTATTATACGATTTTAAAAATATGTTATGCTTATTGTTTAAATAACATGTAAAAGAAATGTATATACTAGATATATTATTAGACTCTTTGTTAATAACACAAGTGGTACATTTGTTCTTTTCAACCATAATAATATATGATTGAAAAGTAGAAAATTTATAAGGTGACAAGTAAACTTTTTAAGTTTATAATTTAATGCTGGTGTTTATTACCATGACAAAATTTGCAAAGGCAATTTATAATTTTAATAATTTTTATTTTGATATATTGTTGATATTAAACATATAAATATGTTTGATCATTTTTTAATTTATATGTACTTAATAAAAGCTAAAATTTCATTAAGATAATACGCTATAACTCTTTGGTATATTATTTATTTAATAATAATTGGCATAAGTAATTGTGTACATATAAAAAAAGATGAAAATTCAAATTTACTACAATAGTTTCTTTTCCATTTGAAAATTCTATTTAAAAGCTGAATTTTTTATATGACATAAAATAGAATTGTATTTAAGAATTGTACTTAAGAAAATTATTTGTATAACTGTTATAAAAGATTATTTCAAAGCATTAAATAATTTGTAGTAATCTTCAATCCAGGTAAATTTTCGAAAAAGACAAAGAGACGGAATGTTTATATATAAAACCAAATTCCATTGACTATAAATCATGAAATTCAAAACTAGTATTTTCTATATTCCCCTAAATTTCACACTTTAAGTTATTAGTAACAGTAAACTATATTTTTGGATTAATACATAATGAAAATTGACATATTCTTTAAATGTTTCCTATGTTTAATCTTAGTCTTTTCTTTCGAGGTTATATAACAATTAGGAATATACATATGTATATAATTTGTATATAATATGTGTATTGTATATGATCTATGGTGATTAGACATGTGATCGATGATTAGTTAGTCAAAATAATATTAATAAGTACCGGTCAATGGAGTGTTTCTCAATTAAATCAAGCATATAACGATAATAATGTGGTGTAAAAAGAAAAATTGAAAAATTAATGTTATAAAGGTCGGAAAATTATTAACTGTTTATGTATATGTATGTACGCACATGAACAAAAATGATAATTAGTTGTCTTTATTTTGTTTAAAAAATGACATTGTACTATTGCACATATTAAGATGTAACTAAGTAAATAATGTCAATTCAAAATATGTATTTATTTATATTTATTGTATATAACACACCAATTATAGACTATGGATTTTGTAATTAAAAAATATCAATACATAAAAATCTCGAATTTTATCATTATCATTTTATAATTTTTAATTCCATACAAATTGGATAGAAAAGACACTTAATATGTATGACGTTTTGCATGTATCTAAACTGTTTATGATTTGAAAAAACGACGTGACTGGAATATTTTAAATATAGATAAGTATTTAATCATCGGAATAGTTAAAAAATTCAATTATGGCATGATTATTTTCTAAATACTTATATTCACAACCCTATGTGTATAATATCCTGCATATTACAGTTGATAGTCCAATTTCATAGCTCTGTATAAAATTGTACATACGTATTTACTTTGGAAGAAAACAATCTTTATATACAGTTAATTAATCACAAAAGCAATCGTAGGAGCCCTTCATTTCTGATTTATAATCTCCTTATAAAAGTCTTGTTTCTTATTTCAAATTGTTGAGCTCGATGTTCACGATTTATTTGAGCATCATATGTATCTAATTTGAAACTCGTTACTTCAACTGATTTGCTCAATGAAATCCCCAATGAAGTCCTTGACCGAGTCAATGGTTTCCGTAGAATCAATCAATTTGTCCTTTTAGTAGTGTCACCGTTCTTCCGTTGCACTCATAACGCGTTGCATTTAATAGAAAGATATACCACTATCAGTTTTAACAATAATCTAGACGAACGTATGGTAACGATATAGAATTCCCTTCAAATTTTATATCTTCCACTTTTTTATTTCCCAAAAACCATCACAAATAATTTACTTTTCAGATATTTCAATTTGATGACACGTAATAGATACTAAGAGCTGTAGTTAAAGAGTAACGAACAATTTTGCTTATTATTATCAACTTTACTGTAAATCTTTATACTGGGTATATGTCTGCGCGCGCGCGCGTACGTGACAAATCTTTATACATATAAAACTGTCTAGAATGTGTCTATCATACTCAAAGATAGCTGATAATAACATGTATACTAGCAGTCATAGTTTATAATCTTCATTATTATTTAAAGTTATAATAATATAATACAATTATATTACAACTGTCAATATAATAATAATAATAATATAAAAATCGATGTATAATTTGATTTTATCTACATACTTACATTGTAAAATCAGCACGCACGTGCAGACGCGATTAGTCGAAGCGGGGGAAGTAAACCACTAAAATACGGACTTACGTGTGCACACACACACACACACACATACATACATGTCACAACGATCAGCTGTAGCGATGTTTACATTTGTTGGCATCCTCGACGACGGTGTACCGCATGGTGGGGTCGCGGCCACTGGCCAGTTTCTTGCGGTCTTTCGAACGGTTGGTATCGTTTTCGTCGTAGTTTTCTTAATCTAATTACTAATCATCACTGTTAATCGTTCGCGTGTTTACGGTGAAAGTTTCACAAGGATATAAAGTGTGGCGTGGTGGATGTGTCAAATGTGTTATCATTGGTCTAATAATCGAAAGAAATCGGTAAGTTGTTGAGATCGTTTTTGAGATATCTGAAAATATTTGACGTAAAGTTCATCGTGTAACTAATTGTAAGTACATATATACATTTATTTCAAATGGTTCACTGATATTACATACTGTACCATGCGTACTACACCATTACTGATTGAAATACGAAATATTATAAAGACGAGCAGCAAGGGTTCGTTGGTATACATATACATACATATATGCACATGTTTGAATGTATTCTATCTATCATTCGAATTATCGAATATACATATTGTGTGTTACGTAGTCGTAGTACTAGTCGGTGCAGTCGGTTTTTCGTTACGCGATATCGCGTGGCAGTGCTGCTGCTGCGCTGTTTCGCGGTTTTCGAAACACAAGATATGTGCATCGAACTCTTTACCGTTATCTCATCGCGTGCATTTTCGCATGGCTAACAATCATCGGCAATAATTCCTTGAAAGTACTTAATCTCCACGGACACCACTATGTGAGCGTTGTTTAATTGGACCTTGGTGATCTTCTATCTTAGGCTACGCGCATATTTTCCATCGATGGTAACTTTTCAATTAGCTTTCGGTCAAGGTGAACCGCGCCGCAAACAATTGTGTTCGATTCTTCCGTGACGTTTTGCGTGCTTTAACAAGAGTAGTGCCGTTTGGCCCGAGTACTGTGCCTTGCTACCAAAATGGTGTCAGACACCGAGTGTAAATAACCTTATGAACGTAAGAATAGACGTACGAGACGAATTGGGTTTATATATCTGTTGCGCCGAAGCCGAAGAAAGCGTTCTTGTGTGTATTAGACTCAGGGGAATAGTTGGTACGCGTTTTGGCAACCGTTCTTACTAGATTTCGCACAGATGTATCGAAAGAAATTTCTGACACGGTTACCTAGATTTTCGAAACGCCAATAATTAATTCATAATAGGTGGTAACGAAAATAATTCTGTTTTAAACATACGTTTCTTATTTAATTTTGAATTATTATTTAAATTTTAAATTTGAATTTTTGCTGAATTACAAATGATTAAGTACTTTGTGGAAATTTTAGAAACTTTTAAATCTATAACGTGCGTTAACGTACTAACGTTTTAAAGAAACATTTATATATTCATTTTAGACGAATAATTAATATGCGTTGCGTAAGGTATCAGAGACGTAAATACGGGTCCATAAATTTCAATCTTTTAAGTTATTTTAAACGCAGGAGATAATTTTAACAAATTATTATCAGGAATTTGAACGTTACTGCGTCGCGTAGGCTTATATTGGATATTTGCGTTAAGAGATTATTAACATTCTCAGCTTTTTGAAAAATCATATCGGTAAGAATGTGTTTCATATAACGCTCACGCGAATTAAATTTTAATGTATGCGTTATATTATATGTAGGCATGGAAACGATTAATATATTATTTAAAATCATTAAGAAATTTCTATTACTTCGTACATTTATAAGATATGACGTTATTTATATTAAATCTTATACTTGTAGGTATATATATATATATTTAGGAGTCATAGTCAAAGTGAGCGTAAATTAAAAAATATTAGATAATATAAATAGTTTCTTAATATTAATATTTAATTAATTATTCATAGATACGACTGAGTAGAAATAATATTATCAGAATATGATCTGCTACAATCAAATAAATTCATATTATTTTAACAACTTCATTACTTAAAATATAATTCTTAAATAAACGAAATATGCTTCAGAATCAAATTCTAGGATTGAAAGCGCATACGGAGTTAAATAGTGATAAAAGTAAAATATTAGAGAAGTTCGTATAGCGTGATATAAGAAATTTTAACTCTTGTCGATGCCGATATTGACGATACAGTTAACCATAAACTATAGTATATTTCTAAAATGAAACAAGAGTGATCAAAGGGTTAAAACACAGTTTATACCTAAACACTCTTATTTTATAGTTATACAGTACATATACATTATATATATGTAAAAGTTACAAGATACTTGGTAAAAGATTAATATACAACATGAATACTAACCTTGTTTCATATAGAAATTAAATGAAATCGAATAAAATATACAATGTTTTTGGGATATATATATAAAAATGAAGTAAACTACACAGTTTTCTTTGTTCTTTTTTCTCTACTCTCGCCGTCGCATCGCTCTCTTCACACAGCTCTCTAGTCGACTAATCTGTTCACATTTCGTACCCGCTCATGCTCGTAACTTATAACACATAGTGTCATCTCCTTCATGGCAACCTCTAATAACAAAATTCTCTAGGAGTATACTAAAATGATATTCTTCCAACAAGTCTCATAACAGTGCTAATGAAATTTCACAATGTTTCGTCTAACGTACACGTAATATGTAAATTTGTAAAGGGTGTCTACAGGTGTTGGAATATTTTCACGAGGTTATGTACATGATATGTATATGTATGAGAATATTCTATTGCAGGTGTTGAAATACTTTTTGAGCCACTGTGTATTACTATCGAAGAGTTACGCGAGATGTGTCGTCGTGTGTAGCCATTCGCGACAACGAACGAGAACATTGTACGAACATGCAAATGAATTGCAGACGGTGTTTGCGTGTAGTTGAAGTACGAAATCTATGCGTACAAAGTTAGAACGATCGTACGAGTATTTGCGCGCGCACACGTTCGCGGCCAGCTGTGTGAGAACAAAACTTGGCGCCGTTGTCTTGCATCAGCGATGCTAAAGTAATAAGGCGGTCGTGAATGTCAACATCGTCTAGACAGGCGGTAGAATCTTTTGGCAGGTGGAAAGAGCGGAAAATCTAGGAGCGTCTGACTGCAAAACGTTTTTACTAGTCGTATTCCCTTCTTCTTCATCCTTCCTTTTTTAATTAGACATAGAGTCCGCTGTTAATTCACCACCGTCTGCGTCGCGTTGCGTCGCAGAAAACACTGAGATATAAATAAAGCGGATAATATCGATTTTTCCAGGCATAGGGGAATAAAACCGAAGGGTGACCGTCGCAGGAATTGCAATCGATACCATTATCGTGTCAATCATCTGTTCCATCCTTTTTTACCTGTTAATAATCGTACAAGATTTTCACGCGAATTACATTTTCTGAATACTTACCATAGGATACTGTCATAAATCATAAACATATTATACTTACTATCTCTCAAAAGTATCCCAACAGCTGCTCATTTTTGGCAATATGTAACTTAATGACGGAATAAAAAATTATGTATTGATAAATATGTAATGATTACGCTCTGTATTATTATTTTACTATTATGCCATGATGAAATTAGGTTTAAGTAAGTAATAGATATGTAATGACATTTGCGAGAATAAATCAAAAGATTCAATGACAGTGTGTAATATGAGCTTGGTATTAAAAATAACGTTTGATAATAAACCATTAAATATTCCGGCTTATTAATATAATGTAATGTACTTTGCTAACATCTATCAAGTATCTTTTTTCAATGAATATTTTCCGATTTATATATCTATGAGGACACATTCAATTTTATTTTAAACTTTATTTAATATATATATATACATAACTGTAATAATTGTGGCTTACTATAGAACTAATGAAGTTTCAAATTACTTTATTCAAACTTCTATAGTATTGCATATATATTTATAAAAGATTCCTACGGATATTCAAATCCTTTCGTGATCCACTGTACATAATGTATGGGTGAATGAGAATAAGTCTCTCGTTGTCGATTAATCAAACTCCGTTCGATACTGCGGAACTCGGCGGATGAAATCCTGTAATTTTCATGATAATCATAGACTTGGACAACTTTGATGTTGCGGATAAGATGAAACGAAGGAAACAGAGAAAATGTTGTCTGGAGAAAGTGAAGTTTAAATTGTAAAGAAAGAGCATATTTTAATAATTAGCGTTTCTTTTCGATATATGTACGTTCTGCAGGAATTTGATAAATTTTGTTTATCAAGAGATCGAAACTGATAAGGGAGACGTTTCGTTAAAAATATGATGTTTTAATAAATACCGAGTCATTTATCACTGTTTTAAATGTTGTTATATCACAAAAAAGTTAATTTCCTTCCTCTCGAACAATTTTTTCCATTCACAACGATTAATCTTCTTCTTTATTTAATTGAAATAGAACACAATTGTCATAATATGTATTCATAAACGTTTCGTATAAAACAGTTAATGATATATGTTTCGTGTAACACGCATAACATTATTATTCGTAAAATGTGTGTATCTACAAGTGCTGGAATACTTTCGCGTGACTGAGCAAGTAATAGATGATTTATGATAAAATACATAGAAACAAAAAACAGCGAGAAGCATTACCTTTGTACTATCAGCACATGTCATAATATTTATGTTCATCGTTGATGAGGTTAGGTTGGGGTTAGATATTTATATCTATAGATTTCTGAGTGTATAATTTTTAGTTTACGATAAATATTGCTTAAATGAATTTATCGATTTCAATTTATTCGTTTCATAAGAATCATAAAGATATTGTTTGAATGTTCACGTTCAATATAGAATATTCCGTGATACCTAAAATGCATCGTCGGACGAACTTGATAATACCACGGGCGAGTTGATAACACGCGAGACACGATTTCCAGATTGAAGTTGGTTCGTTTGCGTAGTTAGTAGTTTCACCGTTCGACATTTCGATTTGAAATTACCGGAATGTGGACTATCCAATAAACGCGGTCTTCAACTCGATTGCAAATAGTTAAAGACGGTCG